AGATTTTATTGTATAACCATGAATGTAGTTCACACAGTTAAAGGTTATAAATTAATAGTTATCACAGTTTGTTATTTTCTAGACCTAATTTGATGCTCTTGTTATTGATGGTTGTACTACGTTAGCCAAAGTGACATAATTGTTTTAATAAGTTGTTCTTCCTGGTATACCAAGACTGAGATTGCCTAAGGGTCATAAAAACTACTATTGGCGAGTGCCAAAGAACTAGGGAGTAAGCCAGGTAGGCAGCAACTTCTTATCCCCAATAATTAGAAGAGGTGGGATCTTGCAAAAGACTCAAAACTCAAAATCCAGCTACACTTGGAAGACACCTCTGAGAAATTGTCATTTCCTAAGCCTTCTAAATACTGGCAATAAAGCTACTCACCATAAGCAACCTACACACATCAATCCAGGAATCAAATAAACAAACAAAAAAGTCTCCCCACAAAAGAAAATGAGAAGACACTTAAACAAGAAGTAGCCACAAAGTTCCAGCTCACCAAACATAAACCTGGGAGCAATGAGATGGATCAATCCAAAGCCACTCACTTCAACTCTCTGAAGTGGTAACAGCAGAAGAAGCAAAACAGATGAACAAGGCTTTAGAAAAAAAATCAAATCAGAAATAATTTCTCAGATAATTACAGAGATGGTGACCATCATGAAAGACATGATTAGTGATTCTGGAGAATATACAGAGAAAACAAATAGAAGATCTTAGAAAAATGATGAAAACAATGATTGCCCAGCATCAGAAAGAAATGGAATCCATGAAACAGACTTAAGCAGATATGCAGGAGATTAAAAATTCCACTGAAAGTATACACAATGTAATGAAGCAGTGTAAGAATAGAATATCAGATATAGAAGACAGGTTTGTTGTTAGTGATAATGAAAAGAAAGATTCTTTTTAAAAAATAGCAAGAGATCATGAGAAATAAATCCAACAGCTGCTAGATGATGAAATGAAGTATATAAGGTTGATCAGAATAAATGAAAAAGTAGGAGATAGCAAAAATGACATAAAAAACTATTCAAAGAAGTGTATTAGAAAACTTCCTAAATGAAAAATAATGTGACATACATATAAATGTGGCATTTAGAACTCCAATTAGACATGATAAAAAACCTACACCTAGTCAAGATTCCAGAAATCTAACACAATAATAGAATATTAAAAGTGGTTAGAGAAAAGAAACAAATCACCTATTAAGTAAAGCCCATTAGAATCACAGAAGACATCTCAATACAAACCCTCATGTCAAGGAGAGCCTAGAGTGACAATTCCTAAAACAGAACAACTTCCAACCCAGATTGATATATCCTGAAAAATTATCTTTTGAGATTCATGGAGAAATAGGATACTTCCATGACATAGAACACCTGAGGAAATTCAGAAACACCAAACCAGCATGCCAATATGTCCTGAAGGATATTCTAGAAAGATATAATGAGGATTACAACTCCATGAACTCTGATAGAATGAATCCACCAGGCAAAGCAAGAAATTAAACAGAGAGTGAAAGAAGGAGCCAATAATAGGAAAATAACATGATAAGGATAAGTCAATACATACCAGTTATAATCAACATTAATGTTCTCAATTCACCAATCAAAAGAAACACACTGGCAGAATAGTTCAAGAAACAAGATCCAACAATATGCTGCATACAAGAAACACCTTTAATTAAAAAAGAAATTTGTAGACTGAAAGTTAAAGGATGGAAACAATACTCTATGGGACAGGAACCTGGAAAAAAGCAGAGGTAGCTATTCTATTTGCAGACAAAGTGGATTTCAAGCTAGGACTAAGAGAAACACAGAAGGTCACTATATCCTTGTAAAGGGAACAATCCAAGAGGAAGAGATAATAATCATAAATATATATGCACCAAATACTAGTGTACCTAACTATATAAATATTAAAACAAATATTATAAAACAGATATTAAACAAATATTAATGGATGTGAAAAATCAAATAAGCACTAATACAATTGTAATAAGGGACCTCAACTTCCCACTGTTATGAATAGACAGATCATCTGGACAAAGAAATCAACAGTGAAATTTTAGAACAGTTCTAATATAACAAATGGACTTAGTAAATGTCTACAAAGTGTTCCACCCCCAAAATCAGAATACACATTCTTGTCAGCTATACACAGGATGTTCTCCAAAACAGACCACATGCTAGCTCATAGAACATGTTTAAGTAAATGCAAAAGAATTGAAATTATCTCTTGCATATTATCAGACCATTGTGCAATGAAATAGGAAATCATGGTAAAGGAAACCACAAGAACCTCATAAACATGGAAATTAAACAGCACCTTCCTGTACAACCAATGGGTCAGAAATAGAATCAAAGAAGAAATTAGACAATTTCTACAATTAAATGATAATGCCAATACAATATACTGGAATTTATGGGACACAGGGAAAGCAGTCCTTTGAGGGAAATTTATAGCAGTGAATACTCATGTTAGGAAGACAAATGAAGGAAGCTCAAATGAACAATCTAATGTTGAACCTCAAGGCTCTACACTAAGAAAATGATACAAAGAATCAACAAATTGAATTTTTTTTTTTGTACTGGGGATTGAACTCTGGTCCTTGCACTTTCAAGGCAGGCAGTGGAACCACTGAGCTAAATCCCCAGCCCTGAAGAATTTGTTCTTTGAAAGATTAAATAAAATTGACAAACCCTTAGGCAGCCTTATTAAAAAAGGGAAAGAAAAGACTCAGATCCATGTAATTAGGAATGAAATGGGTGAAATCACAACAGATCCTTGCGCTTACAAGGGCAGGTGGAAGCACCACTGAGCTACATCCATGGCCCTGAGCTATATCCCCAGCCCAAAGAATTTTTTAAAAAAGATAAACAAAATTGACAAACTGTTATCTAGACTAACCAAGAAAAAAAGAGAGAGTACCTTCAATATATAAACAGATGAAAAAAGGAGACCCTACAAGAGATACAAGTGAGACATTACAATAAAAGGATCAGTAAGAACTATTATGTACAGTGCTTATGCCAAGAAATTGGAAACCTAGACGAAATGAATAAATTTTCAGACACAAAAAACTCACCAGAATTGAACCATGAGGTCACAGAAAACCTGAACACTAGTAACAGGTGAGGGTATGGAATCAGTGTTATGGCTTGAGTCTAGATGTCCCCTCAGAGCCTCATAGGGTCATACATGGGTAATCTAGTGTCTCATGCTAGGATTAAGCACATGAGTGCTACACATGAGTGATTGGTTTGGTACTGCCCTAATCTCGGTAATGTAACTAAGATAAAAGGAGCAGAAAGGCACCGTTGAGGTCCCTTGTTTTTGTTGCCGTGAACTGTTGCCCCTCTGCAACCCTCCACTGGAGCTAACTGATTATAGATTGAAACCTCTATAAACTGCAAGCCAAATAAAACTTGCCCCTTTTAACTTCAGGTGTCAGGCATTTTGTCTCAACAATATGAGAAGAGTAACCAACACAATCAGTAATAAAAAGTCCCTGCATAAAGGAAGTCTTTACTGTTGAATTTTACCAATGCTTTAAAGAACTTTAGAGAACTGAGGCAATTCCTTACAAACTATACCAAAATATTCAAAGAAAGGAAATCCTTCTAAGCTCATACTATGAGGCCAATATTATCCCATACCAAAACCAGACAAGGACACAATAAAGAATGTAACAAACCAATATCTCTAATGAACATAGATGCAAAAATTCCCAACAAAATACCAGTAAATTGAGTCTAGCAGCACATAGAAAAGATAATACACCAGGATCAAGAAGGACCTATCCAGGGATGCAAGGATGGTTAACATATGTAAATTAGTAAACATAATACAATGGAAGGAAATATAAGAACCATATGATCATTTAAATAGATGCAAAAAAAGCATTCAATCAAATTTAATGTTTTATCAGGAGAAAAGTCCTCAAAAATTAGGTATAGAATGATGAATTGCAACATCATAACACAACATGCTCACAGCCAACATAATTTTGAACAAGAAAAGCTGAAGTCATTTCTTTAGGTCATATACAAGATAAGGATTTTCATTTTTATACTCTTGTCAATATTGAACTGGAAGTTTTAACCAAAGCAATAAGGCAGGAAAATAAATAAAGGGCATTCAATTATTGAAGGAGGAGGTCAAATTGTCTCTTCACATGATATGACTTATATATAGCAAAACCCAAAGATTTCATTAAAAAAACTTTTAGAACTGTTAAATTCAGTAAAGTTGCTGGATATAATATCAACCTACAAACATAAGAATCTTTTCTATACACCAACAGTGAAATTACTGAGAAAGAAATCATATAAATAATTGCATTCATACTAGAGATTAAGCAAATATCTAATAATAAGTAATATCTAACAATAAATTAAGCAAATAACTAACAATAGATTTAAGAAAAATCTAACAATAAATTTATCCAACAATATGAATGATCTACAACCAACAGAATGGGAAGGAATATTTGAAAGTTATTAATCCAACAAAGAATTAGTTTTTAGAATATCTGAGGAACTCAACACAATAGCAAACAAAACCAAAACAACCTCCCAAAACAACAAATAGTAATCTAATTAAAACAAAGTCCAATGATTCAAGTAGACATTTTAGAAAGAGAATATACAAATGGAAAACAAGTATATCAGAAAATGTTTCACATTCACTGATCATGAGGGAAATGAAAATAAAAACTACAGAGATATTATTTCACTCCACTTGAAATGGCGATTATCAAATGACAAAAAATACAAATGCTGACGAGGCTATAGAGGAAAGGGAACTCGCATTGTTAGTGGGAATGTAAATTAATGCAGTCATTATGGAAAATAGTAAGGAGGTTACTAAAAAAAAAAAAACAGAATGGGCTGGATGTGGGGGCACATGCTTGTCATCCCAGCACTGAGTAGAGTGAGGTATAATATTACTAGTTTGAATCCAGCCTAGGCTATATAGGAGATGCACCTACCTGTAGCTCAGCCTCAGCTCCACGCCCAAGGCCAGCCTTGAGAAGCCATGTCCCAGGACCTGGGCTTTGGGTGCTTCTTTCTTTAGCATCACCGTGGGGAAGCCACAGAGGTTTTGGGTCTTGCTTGGGTCTGAGTGAGAGGAGAGAAAGGGCCCTCTCAGGCTCTGCACCCATGCGGAGAGCCCACATCAGCCTGGACCAGAGAGGAGCCCCAGTTGCAGCTCACTCCAGCCTGAGGGATCTGAAGTCAGAGACAGATTTGATGTAAATAACACCAAGAGGCTGACAAACCCTTTGAACCCACAGACTGCATGGATGGCCTCCCCTCTTCTGTGGCAAGGCTTATCAGTGAAGGGGAACATATTGTAACCCCAAAGCTGCCACACTGGCTTATGAAGTATTTTGAGCTGAGGCCACTGAGAAGCTTGTTCAGGAAAAGCTCTTAGCCTCCCATCTCCTTAAAAGCAAGGCACAGATGTGTAAAGGTGCCCCCTTCCCTCTTCACCAGGAAGGTGGTGCTTGTTTTCTATTAGTTTCTTCGGGCAACTTGCTACCCTAGGAACTCAAGTCCCTCTCCTTTGTTTTGTTCTTTCTGTAAACATGTGTTATGCCTTTGTTAAGATGCTGCAGAAATTCAAGTCCTTTCTTGTCCCCTTGAATCACTACCCTTCTCCCTGCCCAAGGTACCTTCCAGAAATACTCCTGTGTTTTTTCTTGCTGATATGGCTTTTGCTAGTCTAATTACAGGGCCCTAATGGTGGGCCACAAAGGACACAGGAAAGGTTTGTTCCTCCTTCATCAGACTGGCTGTGGTGGCTGCTCTTCCACACCTGTCAGGCCTGGGAGAGGAGCCGTGACTGTGGTCACATGTCCTGCATGCCTGTATGTGTCCTCCCTTATTGACCACTGTGATTCCATCTGGAACAGGCCAGCTGAATCACTGTGGGAGATTTAATCCCGAATCTCTTTCTGAAACGATGAGGCCAAGCTATCCAGGCATTTTGGGATTTGCATGGATTAGTGCTTTAAATCAAGTTCTGGTTATGAAGAATGGGGTTGTCACAGCTGGGATGTTGAGGACCACTCTTGGGAGTTCATCTGCTTATGGACACTGGGGCAGCCCTTCCCTACCTTGTGCTCTGAGGCTCCCAGGCAGAGGGTGGAGGCTGGCTGATCAGATGTGGGCCATGCTGACTATTAGATGAAGGCCGCTCATTGTACTGACCAGAAGCCTGGGAAGAACAGGCAGCACTGTGTGAGCACAGACAGAGCAATGTGGATTCTGACCAGAGAGCAGAACAAGCTCAGGAGAACAGGCCCAAGGATGTGTGGTTATTTGTGAGTGTCTTGGACATGGGTATAAGTGAGTGTGCAAGCAGATCCATGGGCCCAGGGTGAAGCGCAGGGTGTTCTGCACACATGGATGTGCGGAGCTGCCTCTTACCTTCCTGCTGATCCCAGCCAGTGGCCCATATGCCTGAGAAAGAACAGACGCCAGGGCAGCAATGGCTCTGTCAAGCTCTGGCTGAAAGCCCAGGGAAGAGACACTGGGGGTGCAGCCTGGGGAAGGAGATAAAACTGAGGCACCCTGACACAGCCCACCTCAGCCCATCACAGATGTCTTAACCCATACTATAAGGTGTATGTTTGGCAAGTCTTTCCTTGTCATACACAAGAACATTTTGGCCCACTGAGGTGTATCAAAACTGGACTCCCAGGACCCTACCTATACAGAAGGGGTCTGCGCCCTCCTGGGTCAGATGCCCTGTGGGCTTAGCTTCCCCCAGGGGAGCTCCTTGGTGCCTCATGCTGTTAACAGGAAGCTAACTGTGCCCCTGTTATCTGAATCACCCTTAGGAGTGAGGAAGGTCAGGCCTGGGAGGCAAAGCTGTGATTTCAGCTTTCATCCCAAGTTCTCTCACGACTCACCTACAGCACGTGGCCAGTGCTCTTCAGGAGAAGCAGCAATGTCGCTGCCCCGTGACATCTCACTCCTCCCTGTCTCAGTCCCTGTGGTGTCTCTGGCTTCTGTCTCACGTCCATCCCTGCCCAGAGCACTCATTTCTGTCATGCTAAGGACCTGCAGAAGGTCCTGGAAGAAGGAGGGCTGTATCATCTTTAGTGTCAGGGTCCCACTGGGCTCAGGCAGTGTCCATTGTCTAGGACAGGGCTGACCTGGAGCCCCTGGAGCTGCTGACCAGCCGCCTTGTAGAAAGCCGATGCATCCCTCTGGTGTCTGCTCAGCTGAGCAGCCACATGCAGACTCTGGTCCTCAAGCTTGTCATAGAGTGTGCGGACACTGAAGTTCTCCAAGGTTTGGGCCTGGGGTGGCTCCCCTAGGGGATAAGGTCCTAAGAGTTAGACTGAGGAATGGGCAGAGGCTGGGAGTGAGGAAGTACAGATCTTCAGCAGGCAGAAGAGAGGGAGGTAGAGGTGAAGGAGGCTCACCTGAGGGTGAGGGCAGCTCAGGGGAATGAGGTCAGGGTTGGAGAGGGAAAGTGGGTAAAGTTTGGTGGGGCAGGGGAAGAAAGGATCTCCTGGGCTAGGAGGTGGCAATGCCAGGGGAGGAACCTGCTCTGTGTCTGTGATTGATAAGGGCCTTGCCTGTACCAGAGCTGGTGATGAGCTCTTGCTTCCTGGGTTGCTGAGAATAAGCCCTTCTGTCTCTAACAACATTTGTAGTCCTAATCTAGGCCTGGATGCTGTGCATCTGTTTCCACTGTTCTGTGGACTTGGTTAGAGCTGGGCTGCTCCACTAGCTGAGCTGCTTCTGGGTGGGAAGCATGACCCAGGCCAGAGTCACTAGAGAAGCAATTAGGCCGGCTCCATTAGGACTGCTGCCTGCCTCACTGGTGGCCCCAGCAGCTCTCTCATGTCCTTTGGGGACTTCTAGTGGCCTCCTGACCTCCTCCCTCCAGCCCATTCTGCTCTGCAGGAAGAACAATATAAGGGAGGGAGGCCCCTTTCTGCTAAGCCCAAGTGCTGAATGAAAATACTATGCAACAGAATTGAGCAGCACCGTTCTTCAAAAATGGGGGAACAATGAGGATATCCCTAGAGAAACAAAAATGGACAGAGGATCATGAACACCTACTTTGAGAACCTGTACTCTAATAAAATGGAAAACACAGAAGAAATGAACAGATTTCTAGATACTTATGAATTACCAAAGTTGAATGAAGAAGATAAAAACATTTTAAACACCCCAATCACAATCAGTGAAATTGAAAATGTAATTAAAAACTTACCAACAAAGAAAAGCCCAGGCCCTGATGGATTCACTGCTGAATTTTACAAGACATTTAGAGAAGAACTACTACCATTACTCTTCAAACTTTTCAGTGAAATTGAAAGAGAAGCTATACTTCCAAATTCATTCCTGGAAGCAAGTATCACTTTGATTCCCAAACCAGAGAAAGATACAACCAAAAAGGAGAACTACAGACCAATCTCCTTAATGAATATAGATGCAAAAATCCTTAATAAGATACTAGCAAACAGAATACAGAGGATTATTAAGAAGATCATCCATCATGACCAAGTCGGATTTATTCCAGAGATGCAAGGGTGGTTCAACATACGAAAGTCAGTGAATGTAATACATTATATTAACAAAGTCAAGGACAAAAACCATATGATCCTCTCAATAGATGCAGAAAAAGCATTTGATAAAATTCAACACCCATTCATGATAAAAACCCTGCAAAAAATTGGAATAGATGGTCTATACCTCAATTTAATAAAGGCTATTTATGAAAAACCATCAGCCAACATCATATTGAATGGCCAAAAACTGAAAACCTTCATGTTAAAATCAGGAACAAGACAAGGATGCCCACTATCGCCACTTCTCTTCAATATAGTTCTGGAAACATTAGCCACAGCAATTAGACAAGAGAAAGAAATTAAAGCAATAAAGATAGGAAAGGAAGAAGTTAAACTATCATTATTTGCTGATGATATGATACTCTACATTGAAGATCCAAAAAACTCCACCAAAAAACTTCTAGACTTAATTGACAGATTCAGTAAAGTATCTGGATACAAGGTGAATACCCAAAAATCAATAGCCTTTCTATACACAAATAACAGACAGACAGAAAGAGAAATAAGGGAAAAAATTCCTTTTACAATAGCATCCAAAAAAATGAAGTATCTAGGAATCAATCTAACAAAAGAAACAAAAGATCTCTACACTGAAAACTACAGCACTCTGAAAAAAGAAATCGAAGAGGATATAAAAAAATGGAAAGATATCCCCTGCTCCTGGGTAGGAAGAATCAACATAGTGAAAATGGCCATACTACCGAAACTGCTATATACATTCAATGCAATGCCAATTGAAATTCCAACACTATATTTCACAGAACTAGAAAAAAGAATCCAAAAATTCATTTGGAACCACAAGAGACCTAGAATAGCAAAAGCCATTATAGGCAACAGTCACATGGCACCAGGTGTAACAATTCCCAATTTGAAACTATACTACAAAGCCACTGTGATAAAATCAGCATGGTACTGGCAAAGAAATAGGCCTGAGGATCAATGGAACAGACTGGAAGACACAAAAACAAATGCAGATGTACTCAGCTACCTCATCTTCGACAAAGGAGCTCACCATCCTCAGTGGAGGAAAGATAGCCTCTTTAATAAATGGTGTTGGAAAAACTGGATATCAACCTGTCACAGATTAAAATTAGACCCTTATCTTTCGCCATGCACTAAATTAAAATCCAAATGGATTAAAGATCTAAATATTAAAACAGAAACATTAAACTTGCTGGAAAGTAAGTTAGGCAGAACTCTGGAAGACATTGGTATAGGAAAAGACTTTATGAACAAATCCTCAGTAGCACGGGAACTAGCAGAAAGAATCAACAACTGGGATCTCATCTTACTAAAAAGCTTCTGTACTTCAAAAGAAACCATTAGCAGAACTAAGAGACAATCTACAATGTGGGAAAAAATTTTTACCAGCTGTACCTCAGACAAAGGACTATTATCAAGGATATATAAAGAACTCAAAACAATCAGTCCCCCCAAATATAAAGACCCGATCCAAAAATGGGCATCCGAAATGAACAGACATTTCTCATACAAAGAAGTGAAAGCAGCAAGAAAATATATGAAAAAATGTTCCACATCACTGGTCATTCGAGAGATGCAGATGAAAACAACACTGAGATTCCACCTCACCCCACAAAGAATGGCTGCTATCAAGAAATCACACAATAACAAATGTTGGCGGGGTTGTGGGGAGAAAGGAACCCTCCTCCATTGTTGGTGGGAGTGCAGACTAGTGCAACCACTATGGAAATCAATATGGAGATACCTCAAAGAGCTTGGACTGGAGGTTCCATTTGACCCAGCCATCCCTCTGTTGGGTATCTTTCCAAGAGAACTAAAAGAATCATATCACAGAGAAGTATGTGCACCCATGTTTATAGCGGCACAGTTTGTAATAGCTAAATCTTGGAAACAACCTATTTGCCCATCCGTTGGAAACTGGATAAAGAAGTTGTGGTTTTTCTATAAAATGGAATATTACTCAGCCATAAAGAGCGAGAGAATAGATTCATTCATAGGAAAATGGATACATATTGAAGATATACTCCTAAGTGAAATAAATAAGTCCCACATGTGTAAATACCAAATAGTTTCCCTGGTGTGAATATTCTGCAACAATGCATAAGATTCTAATAAGATTACTGACATTTAGAAATTTGAAGAAAGGCGCTAAAGGTGTAGGGAAGGTGTGATGCGTAGGGGAAGAACAAAAAGGGAAAAGAAAAAAATGTGAGAGAATGAAAAGATGAAAATAAAGTGTTTGTAGATGGGGAGGGGAGGAGGGGGTGAAGGGAGGGCAGAGGTAAGGGGAAAAAATGAGAATCAAGACTTGCCATGTAAAGGTACATGATCCCAACAATGAATGTAACTGTACTGTATCCCTAAAATGTACCAATAAACTCAATAAAATTAAAAAAAAATGGAGGGAGTCAGTTGGTCTGCACAGGATCTGCCTGGAGAGATAGACTCACAGGAGCCCGTAGGTGACCTGGCAGGAGGCTGGATATGAAAGTGAAGCTGGAGTGAGAAGTAGAGCTTAATAATGGTAAACACGAGCAAATTGCAAAAACTGGTATTATTGTAACAATGATTTGTGACTCCTCATTTAAAATTCTACATAATTTGAGAGACTAATACATTAAAATTATTAGGGTAAAAGGTTACATTATTGTAACTTTGGTTTTGTAATTTGGTATGTTTTCTATAGAATTTAAGAGGCATTTAATAATGTATAAAGAGGTAATTTCATGATATAAGGACAAGAAAGCTTGGGGATGGAGCTGGGAAGGAGCAAAGTGTTGTATGCTACTAAAGTTAAGCTGGCTTCAAGTCGTATTGCAAGTTTTTTCAGATCATCCCTATGGTATTCAAAAGAAAATAGCTATAGAAAACACACAAGAAGAAATGGGAAACATAAATATTTCACTGCAAAAACTCCCCAAAAACCAAAAACCAAAAAACAAAACAACAAAAAATAAATACACAGGATGCAGGAGATGAGGGACAAAATGTTGCAAGGCTTATAGAAAACAAATAGCACAAAGACACTAGTGAGTCCCCTCCCTAAACATAGCCATGTTAAATTCTCCAATCTAAAGACAGAGATTGGTAGAATGGGTAAAAACATGACCCAGCTCTATGCTGTCTAAAACGACACATTTTTAGATTAAAAGACAAATAGGTTGATGTGAAAGGCTAGAAGATATTCCATGCAAACACTTGCCAAAAGTGAGCTGAGATGTTTACATTCATAACAGATATAATAGACTTTTAATAAAAAAGTTACAAGAGACAATGAGGGGAACTCATTAACAAGAGTCAACACATCAAGAAGATATAATAATAATTATAAATATGTATACTTTTAGTGGCAGACCATCAAAATACAGGAAGCCAAAACTGACAAAATAGAGTTTTAAAGTAATGAATGGAGACTACAATACCCCACTCCCAATTATAGACAGAACCAGAGAGGACATAAGGAAGGACAAGAAGGACTTGAGCAACATAGTAAACCAACTGTCTCTAACACATATTCACAAAACATTACTCAATGGCAATTGCACACATATGATTCTAAAGTGCACACACAATATTTTCCAGAATAGACTATGCTAGGTCACACAGGAACTCTGCATAGATTTGAGAGGATATATAGTGTGTTACTAAAAGTATGTTTTCTGGCCATAGTGAGAAGAACTGAGAAGTCAGAAACAGAAGGGAAAGGGCAAGATCTGCCCCCCGCCAAAAAAAAAAAAAAAAAAA